GTCCACCAGAGTGCACATGAAAATAAACTTTTGCTGAAGTTCATTCAACCACATCTTTTTCAAAAATATAGTGCTGCAGCAATATATCTCATAGTGTTTAAGAGGATAGCATCCAGCATTCAGAGTGCTGTCTCTTTTGAGCTTTTGCTGCTTAATGATTTTATGTGGCTTGGCATCTCTCTTCCCTCCACCTCTGCTTCTTTTCTTTCTTGCTAAATCTACTTCATTTATGTGATAAAACAGATTGGCAGAAGATATTACCATACACCAACACCATCTTACTGACACAATAATAGCAAAAACCCCATTACCAAAAGTGTGTAATTTGAGTTACAATTTACAATATGTATTTTTGAGGGGACACAATTCAGTCCCTAACAGGTGTTCATTATTGGAGGAAATACTTTCTATTATTCGAGGATTAGACTATGCATGGAACAAGAACCCCTGGTGGGGTAATGCATAACATGGGGCTCTGGGTGGCCTAGTGGTAAGAAGCTATGTTGCAATCCCAAAGGTATTATTTTTCAAATCCACCAGATGCTCCATGGGAGAAGGATGGACAATCTCTTTCCATGTGATTAACTACCTCTGTAAACCCTCTGGAGGGTCAGTTATGAGTTGATTCCAATTCTATGGCAACCAACAATCACAACATCCTATTGTCAGTGGACAATGATGACCCACATTTTGTGAATATTGTTTCTTGACTTCCTTCATACAGAGAAATAGAATGTATATGTATTACTACATGTACATTCTGAGTCACTTCTAGTTTGAGACATGCTTTGCCCTTTAACCTAAACATTTAGACTCTAAGGTTTGTGGCAAGAATGGTGTCCAGTTTGAGGGTGAATGTATAAGCAGGGATTTTAATTTCTTTTACTTGTGTTCATTTCTACCATTTTTGAGTCAATCTCACCTTTCTATTTTTTTTTAATATAGCACAAAAATTCTTCTCAGATCCTTTGCTGATTTTGGAAGTCAGTTCTTCAATGTAGAGTCAAGTCAATAAATGCAAAGTTAAGGGAGCTCAGATGTTGCAGTAGGTGGGAAATTGTGCTGCTAGACCAAAGGCTTCGTCTCTCTGACAGTTTAGATTCACTAGCAGCCCAGAGGGTAAAATATGAAAGATATCCTGCGATGTGATTCACAGCTCCAGGGACCCAACGGAGGGTCAGTTATGAGTCCATTCTAACTCAAAGGCACCGAGGGAGTGATTCATCCAAAACATTCACACGAGGGTGAGACTATTTTTCTACTCCTCCTTTCTCTCTTCCTTCTCCCACTCTCTTTAGTTCATGTTTCTTCCCAGAATACAAGAACCAAAAGCAACAAGCAGCTGGTGGAACCTGAGCTGGACATACCCCTCTCACCCCAGCCCTGTGACCCAGCGCATACTGGTCCTCCCGAACCGCCCTTCCTGCAAATTCCTGGCACTGTGACCAGGAACTCCTGCATGGCCGCAGACGAGACTTGGCAGGGTCTGCATTTTGCTGAAGACATTCCCTGGCTGCTTGTGCTCATTAAATGTGAACTGAAGAAGAATGGAACTGTGAATCTTAGTTCTAAATTTCCCTGTCTCCCTCCTATGTTGCTCTTTCTTTGGGCTCCTCACACCATAGTCTAGCACAGCCTGTCCGCTTTGCAGTTACACCTCAGAGAGGAGTTGGGAAGAGGGACTGAAGTGCAGGGACCTTTTCACTGAACAAGGTGGTGTTTCGGGGCTGTGTCAGAAAATTTTGTAAGACTTTGATCTAAAACTCCAGATTATTGTTCATATTCTGCACTGTTGAATCAGAACCAACCCATAACTGACCCTCCAGCAGGTTTTCAAAGGCAGTAAAATCACACAGAAAGAGATCACCCATCCTTCTCACGTGGAGCAACTTGTAGATTCAAAATTCTGGGTAGTGTAGTAAAGAATTCTAGCTTCAGGGACCTACTTCATAACTACTTCTTACCACCTCACACAGGTGACATGATGAGGTAAGTTCCTTATACTCTCTAGGCCTCAAGTTTCTTGAGTAATAGAGTCAGCCTATGTGGGGCTCTGCATCCTTGACACTGCGCTGCTTCCTTCATCCCCTCTCATCCACTACTCCATCTGCCACTGTCCCAGGCTAGTATGGGGTCTGCAGAAAGGGTATCCTGTGGAAGAATCTAAAAAGTCTCTACAAAAAAAAAAAAAGAAAGAAAAGAAAGAAAGGGAAAAAAAGTCTCTACAGAGCTCCCACGTTTTCTCCTCTCAGTCTTCATGGTCATATTTCTCTATAATAAGTCTTGGGCTTTACAGTGCAGAGTACAATGGATAAGGCTTTAATTTCAGCTATGGCTTCATTGAATCCATGACTAAGTATAGAACCTCTCTAGGCCTCAGTATCCCCTTTTAATCATGGAGACAAAAATAATCTTGGCCATATAGAATTATTGTGAGCTCTGAAAGCAGTAAAACAAATCTCAGCATCTAATAACCTCACAATGAAGGCTAATTATTATTACTGTTGCTGTCAACTCCTGTCCCTCACCAGCAAGTACTAGCGGCCTAGTCAGTAGCATGTTACGCTGCCAAAGATGGATGGTTCTATTTCACCAGCTGCTCTTGGAGAAAGGTGGGAAACACCCTCTGATGTGATCTGCGGCCTTTGAAAATCCACTGAAATGTCAGCTGTGATTCAGTTCCAGTTTGACGCCAATGAGACTTTTTCTGTCACCTCAGAAAGTGAGGAAAACTCCCCCAGAGTTTCAGTAGGTAACTTGGTCTCGCTGGGCAAGAGAGCTCTGAACTGAGTTCTTTGTGTACACGATGGAGGTGGGGGATGAGGGTGTGTGCACACATTGTGCCAGGAACCCCAGAGATGACCAGTTTATGCATTCATGAGTACTTGACAATATTGTAAAAGAGATGTCACCTACAGAGCTCTTGGCCTGCCCACAGCCCCCCAGTGACGCACGGCTGATACTTAACTGCAATTGGGTCAAAATTAGTTCATAATTGGCCCTCCATTGCATTTTTGGAGCTGTAACTCACATAGGAGAAAATTGTCCATATTTCTATCTCAGAACTTCTTGTGGATTTGCTCTACCAAGGAGACATCCTTGAGTTAACTGCACAACATCCTATGGACTGAAGAGGCACCAGATAGAAGTCTTTTTATGGCTATCATTTTGGGGCTTGTCTGGTGTAGCAGCACAGCCTGATGAAGATTGGGATCAGACCTAGATAAAGAGTATCTGCAGCCTTGAGGCAAGTCTTGGAAACTCTCTGACCCTCAGTTTCCTCATCTGTATAATGAGACTGGCAGCACCTCTTTGACTAGGTTATCAAGAGGACTGTGCTCATAGCACAGCTGCAGGGTTGTATGGGCTCTAACAACCAGACTAAGCCTGACACGTATTTTGTGCTCAGTAGTGATGACTTCCTTCCAGACACCCTATCTCCGCAGGCTCCCTTCACTGGCTGGGTCTCTTGTTCCTCTTCTCCCAGTATGGAGTAGGACGAAGCCTTGATGCTGGTCCTCTCTGCCTCAGTCCCAGACAACCTCTGCTCCAGGCTGCCCTTGGCCCACGTTCAGCCAGCCAGACAGCTGAGAGACAGGGAAATCACAAGACTGGGCCACACACTTCTGCACAAAGGTGTTTTAATTAAAAACAAAATAAGAAAACAAAAACCACATCCCAGGGTGTACTGTGATGGTTTCATCAAGCATACAAAGGACATACAAAACACAGCAAACCGAGGACTCCTGGGCAGTGCTGCTGCCTCCCAGCTCCCTGCAGGCCCTCCCTGGAGGCCATTCTTTTCCCAGACAAATGCACACCTCTCTCGGCCATAAAAAAGAAGCGCCTATTCTGCTTTGTTTCTCTTGGAAGACTCAGTCACCTCATGCTCACTGATCCATGGCACGCATACAGGAAGCTGGCCACTAAAAGATTTTATAGATGGGCAGGACTAAGGACAGGGACCTGGGGGTGCACACAACTCCTCTCAGTGACCCTGCCTCTGCCCCAGGTCTCTGGAAAGCTCTGAGAGTCTGGGGACATTAGCTCCTTCCATGGGGAGAGGCTGAGTGGACAGTCCTGTAGTGATCTGTCCTAATTTTGTCCCTGCTTAGTGCTTTCTTAGCTGTTAACTGAAACACTGGAGGTTTGAGTCTACTCAGAGAGGCCTCCAAAAAAAGATCTACTTTCAAATATTCAGTCCTTGCAAACTCAATGGCAAAGCAGCTGCACTCTGACCTGCATGGACTGCTATGAATTAGAATCAACTCCATGGGAACTGAAGGGAGCTTTTCTCCTTGAGTAAAATCCAAGAGAGTGTCTGCTGCTAAGTTATGGACACCAGAACAAGGAATGAGTCCAGCACCAGGACAAGGGATCAGCCCAGGACAAAACAAAGCATGCCCACGCTGGCCCTAAGGTGTATGGACAGCCAGATCACAGGGTCAGCCTGCTTCCCTGGACAACATCAGCTTCTCACACCCACCACATGTAGCCGCCAAACCAAGGCCTTCATCCTCACTTTTCTGGCCCACACTCTGGGGCAAGGGAGGCAGCATATAACTTGTCTGTGATTGTTGACTTTTTCATTTTACATATAACTTGGGGCTGTGATTCTTGACTTTTTCGTTTTCGAGTTTGTATAACCTTCAGAAAGTTTCTTAACTTTCTTAAGCCTTAGTTTCTTCATATGTTAAATGGGAAGACTCAATTTTAACTCACAGCGCAGTTGAAAGCACTAAGTTAGCTCTTGTCTTTAAAGAAGCTAATATAGCACCCAGCACACAATAAGTGCTCCACAAGCATCTGCTTGTGTTTTTGTGATACATTTGATGTGTGTGTTCAATGTGGACGTAAGAGACAGAAGGCTTAAACCTTGTTGTAGAAAAAGGGTGAGCTCTCCTTCCAAGCAGCTCCTGCTTAAGTCTGGGCAGTCAGAAATGCACAGGGTGGCTGGCACAGAGGATCCCAACTCCATCTGCCTCAGACCTGTGCCGGGTCTAGACCTCGGTGCCCTCTCTGGGGTACAGGGCACTGTTGGTGTTGAGGCTGTTGTAGAAATGAGGGCTGAACTGATTGAGGACAGAGCCTCCATAGCCAAGAGCACTGGTGGGTGCTGGGTTGGCCCACTCGCCCCCACCCCCATGGCTGCTGAGGTTGGTGAGGGGCGTGTACGAGTTGAAGCTCAGCAAGTTCTGCCCCATTTTGTCACTGGACTCAGGGCTCAGTCCTGGAGACACCACCGAACGGCCGACAGGGCTGGATCCGCTCACATAGGCTGTCATGGTGGAGAGGAAGCTGTTGAGGCATGGAGTACTTGGTGGGGGAGGCGGGGACTGCTTCTCTGGGGAGCTGGTGGAGCCTGGGGAGGTGCTGTCCAAGATTTCCTGGGGTTCGGTGGTCTTGGGACTGCCCGCCAGGAGACTGCTCTCTGTCTTCTCTGAGGCCAAGGAACCTGTGCAGGAGGAAACATCCGATTTCCGCTTCCTCTTTCTGCGGAAATTTCCATTGTCAAACATCTTCTCACAGTTGGGATCCAGCGTCCAGTAATTCCCTTTGCCTGACACAAAAGTAGGAGAATAATAAGTAGGGATATGGAGAAAGAGATTTGCTTCTATTCTTCTTTACTGCCATAAACAAAAAGCAAAAGCAAATGTAGCAAATAGAGAGAGAGAGAGAGAGAGAGAGAACACAAGGAGAAAGTGGGAACTGAGAAATTAAAGATCTCCACAAACCAGCCAGTCAACAAATTCAATTTTTATTTGAACGTCCACCTTGTAAGAAGGCCTTCTGGAACTATAAAGAAAGAAAGGCACAGTCTCTGTCACTAAGGAGTTTATAAAGCAGATCTCCTTAAGAAGGTCCAGTGCCTGAGGAGAGGATGTCATTGTGGGGTGGGCTTCTTTTGCTAAAGTTAAAGGAATCTCTGAGGAAAAAATTCCAGGACTCCTTGAAGTCCTGAAGATGGAGTTGAACTTGAGTCTCAGTTTTGCTCCTGACAGAGGGATTTGGGGAAAGCCTCAGTCACCTTGTCTAAAAAAAAGTTACATTATACCTGTCTTTCCTTTCTCTAACTCACTATGAGAAATGAATATGTTAGGCTTTTCTAAGGGTGAGGCACTGTTCCATAGTAAGTGTTGAACTCTGCCTCCTGCTATCTCTTAGCCTGAAGGTAAAGGGAGGCATAGGTGGAGTTCTCCCTGTTTTCCCAGGGACTGGTGGTTCTACCACAGTGCAGCTGACCTCAAAGGCACTAAAGAAAAGGCTCCTCTGAGCTGCCTTGGATAAGAGTGGGCTTTAATTCTGAGAAATAAATATTTAACATTTTACTCTCTATATAGCTTTGTTCAGCAATTCACCATTTTTTTGAATTTTGTATGTATATATGAGAGATCTCTGTTCAGAGTAAACCCTGTCACTTCATTGACTGTCATTTTAATCTGTTTCCCCTTTGGGTCTCATTTTCCTCATCTATAAAATGGGTCTGTTAAGATCTCTCTTGCAAGGGTGTTGGGGAGATTAAAGGAGCTGATAGAAGTAAAGCAGGCAGCTGGCCCTTGGTGGTGGTTCAGCAAATGCCAGACACTTTTACCCCCTCAGGCTTTGTGGAAGTCTTAACTGAATGACCAAAACCAGATTCCTTTCAGTGATTAGTGAGCATGTTAACACAAGGTCATTATCTTGTGATTTCCTAAAAGCTGCAAATCTGACTCCCGCTAACAGCTCTATTTCTCAGATGAGGATACTGAGGTGGGACCATCAAAGTTGCCCAAGGTCACTGAGTGGCACAAAAGGACTGAAACTCCCAGTCTGTCTCCTCCTACCCACCATCTCCTTTCCTGCGGAGGGTCTCCCAGCTCTGCTCCCTAGCAGCCCCCAGGGGCAGGGGCCTACTGACAGCCAGGACCTACTTGAGGAAGAAAACATGAGCCCTCCACAGAGGTTCAGGTGGCCGCTGAAGCAATGCTCTCTACAGATAGGACCCAGGCAGGCCTCGCACCCACTCTACACCCCCTTACCTGGGTCGTCCTCATCCCGGGGCACCTTCTTGAAGCAGTCGTTGAGAGACAAGTTGTGGCGGATGGAGTTCTGCCAGCCAGCCTTGCTCTTGTTGTAGAAGGGGAAGTTGTCGGCCACATACTGGTAGATCTGGCTGAGGGTGAGGCGTTTGTCTGGCGCCCCGTGGATGGCCATGGCGATGAGGGCCGAGTAAGAGTAGGGGGGGCGCACCAGCTTCATCAGCTCCTCCTGCGAGGGGAGGGGCAGCCAGCCCAGATCGCTGCCCCCCAGACCAGCCATGGTGGGCAGCAGTGGCCTCTGCATGCCATAGGCCTGGGGCAGGAAGGGGCTGCCATTGGTGCCAGGCAGGTAGGGTGGGGGGGTCATCGCAGGACCATTGAGCCAGAGGTAGGGGTTGGGGGTGGCCCCATACTCGCCACCCCCCTCGAAGGACGGCGGCCGCTGAGGGCTGGGCACACTCTGCGGATGGAAGAAGTTTTCATAGTAAAGGTTCATCTCAGGGGGCTCCTGGCCGATGCTGGGGAACTGGGGGCTGCAGCGCGGGGAGGGGGGTGTGGGGAGGTCGAAGGAGCTCATACTGGAGCTGGAGCCGTCGGAGCCACCTGCCTGGCACCTGCACATCCAGAGGAGCTGTCTCTGACAGGTGCTCCTGGCCTCCCTACTTATACCCTGTGGGGCGGCCCCAAGGGGCGGGAGGCCACCTGCGGGTGCCCGCCTGGGCCCGCCCTCACCCTCCTCCCTCAGCGCTGGCCCAGCTGAGCCTGACCGGGAGGGGACATTCCACCAGCCTCAGGTCCCCACTGGTGACTTGCCAAGACCAGCTATTATAGCTGATATTAAAAGCGACACAGGAACCTTTCATCCTTCTTTATTTCCCTTCTGTCTCATCCCATGTTTATACCCTTCCTCCCTCATTTTGTCTCTTTTCCTCTTCCTGTGTCTCAACTCTCTGTCCTTCCCCACCCCCAACTCTTTCAAGGAATCTTCCTATCCTTTTCATCTTTGACTTTTTCTTCCCTTCCTACCTTGGTTCTCTTTGCCTGGTAGCCCCTGTTTCTACTGCTGTGTTTCTATGTGCATTGCTCTGGCCAGGCCGCAGCCCTTGTTCTCTAACTCCTGTCTCCGTCTATCCTAACTGTGCTTCCCACTGCCTTCATCACTTGCTTTCTGTCTTCCTCTGCTTCTCCCTTTCCTGCATGAGGTCTCTCTCCACCCCCATCTCTCTCTCTATCATCACCTTCTCTGCCTCCTTCTCCTCCTCACCACCCCTGTCCTTTCATCCACTCCTCCTACTAGACTCAGGACACCCTGAATCAGAAGCCCTCTTTCTTGGTCTTTTAAGTGAAGATTCACCCTCTGGATGTAATACACTGGAAAAAAAAATCCACTCATGTTTTCCACGTCAACTCCCAATGCAGGTGGAGAGGAGAGGCAGAGAGCTGGCAGGGGTGAGAGGTGCGTCCTGGCAGATGCTCCCTCCAGCTGGGGCCGTGAGAATGCTGTTCCCCGGACAGAACCAACCTAGAGAATCAGAAGGAGCAGAAAGGAAGCTGGCTTCAGGCTGATTTCTAAAGAGACAGCCAATGATGTGCCTAGACCTCACGTACACTTTCCCACTTGTGCACACACACATACACACATATCTACACATGTATTCACACACGGAACACACTTACCTATATGCACATGTGCTAACTGAACACATATACACACATGCTCACACATAGATACATGTTTACATACACATAAACACACTCCCATCTGTATGCACACATATTAATTATATACATGTACATGTATATGCACACAGAGACGCACATGCATACACACAAATTAACCCATGTCCATCTGTATGCACACATGCTCATCATACACACATGGACATATGCTGCAGAAAGAAGCTGAAGACAAGGCCTGGAGATCCCTTGTGAGGAGTAGCAGGCTCTTGAAAGTAAGTAACCAAAAGAATGGAAGGAGAATGTTTGCAGAACCCAGTTCTTTTTTCTGTTTACAGGACCAAGGAGGTTCCCCAGCTCTTTATCTGGCCCAGAATCCTTTCATGTTTCAACATACAGAAGCCCTAGTCCCTGAGGCAGCCAGCCCGGGTGCTGGTTGTTGTTAGATGCTGTTAAGTTGAGTCCAACTCATAGTGATGCTATGAACAATAGATCGGAACCCTGTCCTATCCTGTGCCATCATCGTTGTTTCTGACACACTAGAGCTCATTGCAGTATCACTGTGACAATCTATCTGGTTGAGGGTCTTCTTCCCTTTTGCTGACCCTCCATATTTCTAAGAATGATGTCCCTCTCCAAGGAATGTTGTTGTTGTTGTTAAGTGCCATCGAGCCATAGATGACTCCCAGAGAACCTATGAACTAAAGACCTGAACACTTTCATAACTTCCATCGCTTCTTCAAGTTCATAGAGTTTCTAAAGGCAAGCTAATTCAGAAGTGGATGCCACTCCTGCTTCTAAGCTTGTTTTGATTGGGGAGCTCCACCAAACACTGTCCATCATGGGTAACCATTCTTGCATTTGACACATTAGTGTCACAGTGTTCAGAATCACAGCAACCACGAGTTACCTCTGTACAGCAAATGGACAGACCAGTGCTATACCACTTAGAAGAATGTTTGACCAAAACCAATTAAAACCAGGCCTGAGGGCCGCAGATGAGTACGTGAGACGAAGATTCGTCATCTTTTATTCGACGAGCACTGCAGTTGCACTTTCTCTAAGACATGTCTGTTTGTCTGTATGGCAGCCTATGGGCCAGGTGTAGGATTTTCCCCTCTCTCCCCATATCTCCCTCAGGCTACAAAGGCAGGAGCTCTGCTCAGTCCTGCTTGTCCATGTGGCTGGTTCCTCTCACCTCTGGCTCCATTTCTCCTTTTGTAGCTTTGAGGTGCCTCATCTCGACCCTCCCCTCCGTACCTTTTCCCTCAGGGCAGGATCTCAGCTTGGGGAGTATGAAGTAGCTAGTGATTTTTTGGTTCTCGACCAAATTCTATTGGTAGACCAATCTTCTTTCCAGGAGCAGACAAGTTGATGACTCCTGAGAGCTAGCCCCTCTGGTTACCACCTCTCTCCCACCTCCACTTCCTTCTCCCCATTTCACTTCCTCGGGAAGGAAAGAAGAAATTTGAGAAAGAAAAAGGAGGTAACTTACTGTCCCTTAGGAGTGAGAGTCTCCAAGGGAGTTCTTTTTACAATTGTGTCAGGAATCAAGGTTGGAAAAGTGACTGCTATAGAACAGACTTCCTTTTCAACTTATTGGTGCCCAGAAGATGAGTTCCAGGTAATTGTGTGAAAGACACAATCTGTTCCCTCCGCAGGACAGTTAATAGAAGAAAACACACTGCAAGGGTCTGATTGAGTAGGTGAGATTTTCAATGAATGCATTTCTACTTTGTGTTGGGAGAGTGAAAAGTAAGGTTTCAACTTACTGCTTAGTTATCAAGAAGCCAGGTTTGCAGAAGGCTGGGCCTCAGATCTGAGAGAGAGCAGTCATGTTGTTCGTGACCACTGCTGCAAGCCTGTTGTTGTTGTGTACCGTTTAGTCAGAACTGAACCGTAGCTGACCCTCCAGAGGGTTTTGAGAACATTAAATTACATGGAAGGAGATCGCTCATCCTTCTCCCATGGAGCAGCTGGTGGATTCAAACTGCTTTTCTTTGCATTGGGAGTACAATTCCTTACCACTAAGCTATAAGAGCTCCCTAGAATCTTCCAGTTAATCTGGCAACTTGCTTCTCAGAATTCTACCTACAGAGTTAAATAGAACAGAGAATCAGCTACCAAGACATCTTTTTTTTGGTGGTCATAATAGACCAACGAGCCCGAAAATATGGCATTGGTTAAATAAATGATTTACCATTCAGCATATCAAGTGTAATACCATCCAGATATGAAAAATGAATTGTAGAAAATTATTTAGTAATACACAAAAATGCTCAGTTTAATTACAGTTATTTGAGAAAACAAGTTTTAAAATAATAGAATTACTTTTGTAAAATATATACACCTATACATTAAGTGTGGTGCAATAGATTGCATTTATAAGGACTTTCTTTCTATACCATGGGCTAACCAAGTAATTGGGTAGACCTGTTGAAAGGTGTATCTTTAAAAATCTTTAGCGCCCTCGGACCTGTGTCCCTCAGGCCAAATTTATTAAATTTTTAAATGAACATTCTTTAAATGGGACAGCAGTCGTATGTCCACTTGCTGTACTGAATAACGTGGAGTTGCTGTGATGCTGAACACTGTGACATAGTTATGTCAAATACTATAATGGTTACCCATCATGGACAGTGTTTGGTGGAGCTTCCAGATTGATTCAGGTTTAGAAGCAGGAGTGGCATCGACTTCCTAAACCAGTTGTCTCTGAAAACTCTATAAACTCTGTAAACACACAGAAATAATGTTAATTATAAAACAGAGTTCAGGTATTTTGTTCATAAGATTGCTGTGAGTCGTATTCGACTTGATGACACTTAACCACTGCTAAGTGAAACTAGTGTTATCTTTGGAGGAACATTCTTCTACTTTGTACATCACTCTTTGTCTTTTTGCTGTACTGAGGTAACCTGGGTTTGCTGTGATGCTGAACCTTGTGCCATTAGGATACCAATGGTACTCAGTACCACTGGAGTATCAATGGTATTCATGATCAATGGTATTCATGATGGTTTCCCAATGTGGACAGTGTTTGGTGGAGCTCCCAGTTGTGAAACAGGTTTGGAAGCAGGAGTGGTATCCACTTCCTAAACCACATGCCTCTGGAAACTCTACGAACTTGGAGAAATGACTATTGCTATGGAAAGGCATTAGATCTTTTGTTCATAGAATTTCTATGAGTCGTACTCTACTCGATAGCAATCAACAACAACAACATGCAAATTAAGTGTTTATGGCCCTCTGCAGAGATCACACAGTTTGCTAATAACACAAATAAATGCTGTGGAGACCTAACGAAGGCATGGATCAGTTTTGGCGTTGGCCAGTTTTACCATCCCGCCAGGCTTCAAATGAGCCATATTGGAAGTTGAGGGAGAGACCTCACTACATTAAGAAGAGTTGTGTGCTTTGGACTCAGGGTCCTTGCACTAAAAACCTTCTAGACCTGGGAAAGAGAGAAAGGAAAAGGAAGGGGAGTGGGAGGGGGCGGGGGAAAAGAGACAATTATGAGAATCCATAAGATGGCAAAACAAAGAAGCATAGTATTGACAGCAGAAGAACCGGGTTGATGAATAGACGTGTAGGAGGATTTCCAGTCCAAGGAGACAGTTGAGTGCCTTTGAGCCTACTGCAGAATGAGGTACCTCGGGGCATTTAACAATAGAATTAAAAAGCCTTGTCACACTTGCTCAAGCAGAGCAAAGACTGGGCCAGCCCTAGAAGTCTGAGAAGCCCAAAAGGCCAAAGAGCCAAAGGGCCAAAGGCTAGCTGTCCTGGCCAAAGACCTGTATGTATCCTGCGTCATTCCACATTCTGAATTATAACCTAGTACCTCCCTAGTAAATCCCTAATCATGAGTATTGTCTGTGAGCTCTGTATGGCCATGACAATAAA